CAGTCAGATGAAGCGGTGCCCTCCTCAGCCCCTGGCCCGTCCTGACTCAGCTCTGCTGTCGGGTCCCGACAGGTTCCGGTGGGCACTACGTTCCAGTCAGATGAAGCGGTGCCCTCCTCAGCCCCTGGCCCGTCCTGACTCAGCTCCGCTGTCGGGTCCCGACAGGTGCCGGTGGGCACTATGTTCCAGTCAGATGAAGCGGTGCCCTCCTCAGCCCCTGGCCCGTCCTGACTCAGCTCCGCTGTCGGTCCCGACAGGTGCCGGTGGGCACGACGTTCCAGTCAGATGAAGCGGTGCCCTCCTCAGCCCCCTGGCCCGTCCTGACTCAGCTCCGCTGTCGGGTCCCGACAGGTGCCGGTGGGCACTATGTTTCCAGTCAGATGAAGCGGTGCCCTCCTCAGCCCCTGGCCCGTCCTGACTCAGCTCCGCTGTCGGGTCCCGACAGGTGCCGGTGGGCACTACGTTCCAGTCAGATGAAGCGGTGCCCTCCTCAGCCCCTGGTCCGTCCTGACTCAGCTCCGCTGTCGGGTCCCGACAGGTGCGGGTGGGCACTATGTTCCAGTCAGATGAAGCGGTGCCCTCCTCAGCACCTGGCCCGTCCTGACTCAGCTCCGCTGTCGGGTCCCGACAGGTGCCGGTGGGCACTATGTTCCAGTCAGATGAAGCGGTGCCCTCCTCAGCCCCTGGTCCGTCCTGACTCGGCTACGCTGTCGGGTCCCGACAGGTGCCGGTGGGCACTACGTTCCAGTCAGATGAAGCGGTGCCCTCCTCAGCCCCTGGTCCGTCCTGACTCAGCTCCGCTGTCGGGTCCCGACAGGTGCCGGTGGGCACTACGTTCCAGTCAGATGAAGCGGTGCCCTCCTCAGCCCCTGGTCCGTCCTGACTCAGCCTCCGCTGTCGGGTCCCGACAGGTGCCGGTGGGCACTATGTTCCAGTCAGATGACGGCCAGCTACGCGGCCAGTCTGGAGGTGGAGGGCGCCATGTTTTGTCGCGGCCCGCGGCGGCGCCGGCGGCAGGGGCAACAAGTACTTCGCCACAGACACGTGAGTGACGCTGTGGGCCGTGGTGCTGACTGTGGGTTATGGTGGGGGCTGTAGGGTCGTGGTGCTGACTGAGCCATGGTATTAACTGTGAGCCGCGGTGCTGACTGCGTTATGACGCGAGCTGTAGGTCGTGGTGCTGACTGGGCCATGACACTGACTGTGGGCTGTGGTGTTAACTGTTTGCTGTGGTGCCAACTATGGGTTATGGTGTGCGCTGTAGGTCGTGGTGCTGGCTGGGCCATGACACTTGCTGTGGGCTGTGGTGCTGACTGTGGGCCATGGTACTACTGACTGGACCGTGGTGCTAACTATGGGTTATGGTGCGGGCTGTAGGTCGTGGTGCTGACTGGGCCATGACACTGACTGTTGGCTGTGGTGCTGACTGTGGGCCATGGCGCTGACTGTGGGGCCGTAGTGCTGACTGTGGGCTATGGTGCTGACTGTGGGCCATGACGCCGACTGTGGGCTGTCGTGCTGACTCCCCGCCGTGGTGCCGACTCCAGGCTGTAGCGCTGACGCTGTGCCGCGCTGCCGCAGGAACCAGACGCCGCGGTTTGCCGAGCTGGGGGCGCCCGGCGAGAGCTTCGTCTACGCGGCTGAGCTGCGCACCATGGCCGACATTGGGCTGGTGCGTGACACCTGTGTCATGTGACACGTATCGCAGGGCTGTGCCTGCTGCGTGGTTCATTTGCTGGTAACGCGTGCATTTGATCGCTTTCATCGAGGCTATGCAACTCAGAAGATGCATTGTTGTAGCGTGTAAACTTAAGTGTTTTTATATCGCCATAGATATCGAACGGCTAATCTCACTGTCACATCGCGTCAGATTTTGGATTCGTCCATCAGAGGTAGCGAGAGCGGCATTGGGCGTTTCTGCCGCTCTTCACCTGAACTCCGCTGACGTCCCGCGGCCGCAACCCAGCCGTGGTTCTTCTCGTGGAAGCTGGCCCAACCGCTGCTCTCCCGACCCTCCCTCCGTGGCTTCATCTGACCCAGTGGTCACTCCCTGCTCTCCCTCCGTGGCCTCATTGGCCCAGCAGTCACCCCTGCTCTCTCTCCTTGGCCACATCTGATCCAGCGGGCACCCCTGCTCTCTCTCCGTGGCCTCATTTGACCCAGCGCTCACTCCCTGCTCTCCCTCCGTGGCCACATCCTGCCCGGCGGTCACCCCTGCTCTCTCTCCGTGGCCACATCCTGCCCGGCGGTCACCCCTGCTCTCCCTCCGTGGCCTCATTTGGCCCAGCGGTCACCCCTGCTATCTCTCCGTGGCCACATCCGACCCAGCGGTCACCCCCCTGCTCGCCCTCCGCGGCCTCATCTGACCCAGCGTTCACTCCCTGCTCTCCCTCCGTGGCCACATCTGACCCAGCGGTCACCCCCTCCTCTCTCCCCTTGGCCACGTGACCTAGCGGTCACCCCTCCTCTCTCCCCTCGGCCACGTCTGACCCAGCTGTCACCCCCTCCTCTCCCCCTTGGCCACGTCTGACCCAGCGAGCACTCTGCGACCGTAGCTGACCCAGTCATAGCTCCTCCAGCCCTCTCTCCGCGATCACAGCTTACCCAGCGGTCGCCCCTCCCGGTGCGCAGATCGGGTTCCCGAACGCGGGCAAGTCGACGTTGCTGCGCGCCATCTCGCGGGCGCGTCCCAAGGTGGCGGCGTACCCGTTCACCACCCTGCAGCCTTACGTCGGCATGGTCGAGTACAGTGACTACGTTCAGCTGGCAGGTCAGCTCCGCCCCACAGGCATGGCTAGTCTTTCGTGTCAGTGCGAAGTGGTGCCAAAGTAAAGCCACGAAGTACCTTTGGACTGCCTTGTTCAGGTTTATTTTGCATAAGTTCCATGCCGCCTTGTTTGCTGTGTACACGTCCAGTGCGCCCGCTTTGTCGTTCCTCGCGCTGTTGCCTACGTATGTGGTTAGCCCCTATCTGCGTGTGTAGGGTTGGATAATCATCCCCAGGAAGAACCCGGTCATTGGTGGTAGCTACCCACCGGCTGAAGCTGGACTAGTCAGCCTGTTGAGCTCCCAAGTGTCCTCTGCGCCTCTTGGTTTTTGCTTTTTGGACTAGAGCCCTTTCGACCAGACGTGATCATTGCAGGGCTATGGGATGAAGGAAAATGGTTAACGATGGGACAGACGTGCATACGCCTGGGGGGCCAACCGCCAAGCTTTAACCCGCGCATGCGCGAGTACCCGGCCGGGGCCTCCATTCTCACGGGGTTTTCGGCTCACTCGTGACTGACGCATGCGGCCTGCCCTGGACAAGCGGGGTGCCGCGAGGATGCAGGATGAAGCAAGATAGAGGAAAGAAGGACGAATACGTCTCCTCTGCGCCTCACACGACCCCCTGCCCTCTACAGTGGCCGATATCCCGGGGCTGATCAGGGACGCGCACAAGAACCGCGGCCTGGGTGTCGCGTTCCTGCGCCACGTGCAGCGCTGCACGTGCCTGCTGTACGTGCTGGACGTGTCGTGCCGGCCGGCCGAGCAGCTGCGCGTGCTGCAGCACGAGCTGGACATGTTCCAGCCAGGCCTGGCCCGCCGGCCGCACGCGCTGGTGGCCAACAAATGCGATCTGCCCGGCGCCGAGGTCAGTCCGCCGCGGCAAGGTTAAGCCTCGGTCACGTTCGTGGCCCGGTTAGGTTATGCGGCCCGCGCAATCTTAGGTGATTGCTCGCTTGTGTGAACGCATCGCTCGCTGGAGCCGTCTTGCTGGATGAGCTGGCGCCACTCGACACTAGCGGATGATATGACGGCTGTGTACTTGGGGACAGGGAAAGCAAAAACTGTTTTGCGCTTTTGGCACACCTTCGGACGATTAGATGGCAGATCGCATCACTGATGACATGGCCGCTCGTGCCGTGTGTCCTTTGTTTCATCGTGGCCCAAAATTTCAGGATAATCTGGAGGAGCTGCGGGAGGCGGTTGACATGCGCGTTCTGCCCATCTCGGCCAAGATGGGAACCAACGTTACGGAGCTCTTGTGTTATCTGAGGACACTGCATGACGAACACAGCCAGCGAACGGAGGCGGAGGCGGCTGTGAATGACTTGTGATCTTTGTGAGTGGTTTTGTAAGGTTCCAAATAAATGTAACCCAAATAGACTTCCATGTACTTATGCTAAGCGCCTTAACCCTGGACCCTCCCCCCCCCCCCCACTCCCGGGATTTGGCAACTTGCTTGGGGAGTGGGCTGCTCCTGACCAAGCTGAGATACCAAACACGTTGCTGAAAACGGTGGCGTGCACGAGACTCGACTTAACACGGCCTGAGGTAGCAGAGAGCCCGTTTTAAATTTTAGACGTTAATCCTGCTGTCATTTGAGGCAGCAGGCGCTTGACCTTGCTTGTCCCGATGGCTACCAGCTAATGATCTTAAAAACCAGAGTTATTTTAGAGCCACCATACTGCGTCGCCCTCTGGAGGGCAAGCATGCCCTGGTCACGAAGGGGTGAGGGGTCACGGGCGCATCCGCTATCCCCCCGCCAGTCGCAGCGCTTACTTAACGTTTTACGCCGCGGTTAGAACCAGCACCGTGGACTCTCACTATTGCTATATTTAGCTATATTACTATTGCTATATTCCCACGTATATTGCTCCTGTCCTAGCTGCTACAACTCGTACACTTGGACGCGTGCGGCGTATCACTGAAAACCCGCAAGATTCAGATTTCCTCCTTCCATAATACTCATACGTTAGATGTTAGAAAACACATCTTTTACAGAAATTATTTTGCGGCGTCGCTGAATGCACCCTTGCAGTAACCTGCTCTATGCAGTGAAGCTGCGTGAAAATTTCTGAAACCACAGGCCAAGTACTCAACAAGACGACTCAGGGTTCCAAGCCAAATAGCTCCTACACAGCGTCTGAAAGACGTTGCCAAGCCTATTGGAGAATCGTTCCACCGTTGACGTCCGTTCATGGGGCGCTCCGCTGTGCCCTACAACAGACGATAAATAGTGGACACATGCAGGTTTTTTTGTTTATTTCGGCATGACAGGCGATGACATCTGAAAAGGAAAACAATCATCATGTTAGAACCTGAGAGCAATAACCATTTTGCACAAACGAGGACAGTATTAGCAACAAGGCCTACTGACGCCATCAACTTCAACAGGTCTTCGTATATAAACCTACCACCGAAACAGCGGTTCGCAACAGAGCGGCGGCGTTTGGAGCACGTAAAATGCTTTCCAGAGGTACGAAACTACCGCGAACCATTCGCAGCCCACAACTGTACTAAACCGCAAATACACCATACACACCCATCAGCATCTATGGCAACCCCAAGCAGTTAATAAACAACTAAGACCAATTGCGAAACGATCGTAGTGACCACAAATCAGTCCTCAAATCACGCCGAAGCTACCAAATCCAAATGGCAGCTGCACTAATGTCACCAAATTGAGATCAACGAATCTGAATAAAAGCTGCCGATGCGAGCGAGACGAGCATATCATGGCCATACTGGTCCTATGATATTACGAAAACCGGACACAATCCGCACTTAAACAAGGCTTATTACTTTGTGTCCATTGTGTTGTTGACACCACCATCAGAAAGCAATCAAGAAGATATGCTGGGGCTCACCTCAGTAGTTCCTGCAAAGAGAGAGAGGTGTCAGTATAAGTTATGAAGATCCTTGCTGGTGTACCATCAGTTCTAACCTTGCACACCACCGATGCGACCTATCTGTTTTATTCTGACAAATGGGTGCAAAATGGCCACTGCAGTCAAAGTGCCACCAAACCCAGCTGTCGTGGGATTAACATTACAATGGGATCAATGTTAGCTATCTGAAACTTTTTTGGCAGTTACAATTTGCCTGCTCATGTGGGGAAGGGAAAGTCAGGCTTTTAACATAAAACACCTGAAACTGATGGTATGCCACTGAATATGATCCCTACATGGCATATTCCAAAAGCGACCACTTCCATTGTAGCATCACACCACCAGAAGCAAAAAAATATGTAACTGGGCCTTAAAGCCCCCAAGTCCCAACTGACCAGGGGGTAGTTATAACCCAGACATTTTTTTCTGTATCTGGGCCTTAAAGCCACCAGGTCAAGCAACAGACCAAGTGGTAGTTATAACCCAGAATGTTGCACATCTCTAAGTACACACATAAACTTCAAGCAAGACAATGACAACAATAAATTGCACAACAATTAGACTTAGCACAACATGCTGTTTTTGCAACTGGTTCATATTACTGTGCCATGGTAAAGAGGAATACAAAGGACAGCCACAATACATAAGTTACAATAAATAGTGTAACTGACTGGTTACTGGCAATTACAAATTGGAGTCTCAGGGCATGTTGACTGCAAGTGGTCATGCACAGCCAAATGCCTGGTAGTTTGACTTGACAACATCCCACACTGATTTTTGGTTTGGGCACATCTGAGGCAGCCTGACCCAACCCAGACTTTCAGCATGTGATCATAAAAAAACTCCACCAAGTGCTGGCTGCCCCAAGAATTAGCAATGCCGATATTACAAGGATAATTCTACACATCACCAACCATAACAAACAAAACAGACATGCAACACACCTACTAGATGTGAGAATATCAGACAAGTTCTTGCATGGTGTCCGCACCACATCCCTGCCACTCACTTTGCAACAATGCCATCCTTCTTCGCCAACCGCGTGAGGCAGTCGTCGGACTCTCCCATGCGTCGGATGTACCCGCAGATGGCGTAGGTCTTGCTGTCGCCGGTGTAGCGGCCAGTCGTCGGGTCCACGTCAGCAATGTTCAGCTGAATGGAGGCGTGGTCCTTGGCCGCAATCAGGCGGTTGCTGGCCGAGCTGGGGCGACAACACGTGATTAGAACGGTGTCGTCCTTGGCCGCAATCAGGCGGTTGCTGGCCGAGCTGGGGCGACAACACGTGATTACGAAGGGTGTGGTCCTTGGCCGCAATCAGGCGGTTGCTGACCGAGCTGGGGCGACAACACGTGATTAGAAGGGTGTGGTCCTTGGCCGCAATCAGGCGGTTGCTGGCCGAGCTGGGGCGACAACACGTGATTACGAAGGGTGTGGTCCTTGGCCGCAATCAGACGGTTGCTGGCCGAGCTGGGGTGATAACACGTGATTACAACAGATATCATTTCAGGTTGCTACAGGTGTGAGTGAGTTGGAAATGGCCATCCAGAAGAAATGGGCATCCTGACATGCAGTGGCCACAATTTGGTCAAAGTGAGAGCATGAGAACATGCAAAAATGCAGGGTGAACTTGTATTGATGTGTCAAAACACCATAGTAACCCTGGATGTGCGTACCTTCCACATAATCTTGTTTATTACCATTTATTTGAATAAGATATTCTGGAAGCTGGGCATACATAGCAGACTGACCCCTGGATACACCTGACCCAAGTCCACATTCTGCCCAAGTTCAGGCATAAGGGTGCATTACCTACAGCTCCTTGCAGCCTGGTGTCCCAACCAATGTTCAGATGGGTTCTGCTTCGGGGGCATAACAGCTGTGCCCTCAGCTCTCACATGGGGGCTGGTTTGCATCCTGGTTGCTCCATGACCCAGGAATGCCAATATGGTCATCACAGCCACCGGCATTTCATAAAAGGGTCTGTTTCACGATGTTTATAACGTCCTGTTTTGATGTCAAAGGTTGACACATCACGGTTGAAGGATAGTCCTGTACCTGGGCCTTAAAGCCCCCAGGTCCAAACTGACCAAGAGGTAGTTATAACCCAGACATTTATTGTATCTGGGCCTTAAAGCCACAAGGCCCAGATGCAGACCAAGTGGTAGTTATAACCCAGTCATTGTGCCATTTGCAAATCATGGCAACCCTTTGATGAGGATTTTGATAAGCACCACAATGCACAAATGATTTAAGTCAAAAACTTCACAAATGTTAGCATGTTAGCATACTCAATATTCCATGCTATTCTACATTTTAACAGATATATAGCTTGAAAATATTAATGACAAAACCTAGTAGATTTGTGACATCAATTGGACCACACAGGTAAATCACACCACACCTATCATGGATATGTGCCCTAAGAATTTTCACCATGTATTACAGGTGCCTTTCTTTCATACTTTATTGAACAAGAACATAAGATAAGATTGGAGGAAAATAATGACAATGCACATAATAAGGCAAAGGTCAGAGGAGGGCTTGGATGGAGTGGGGAGCAAGAACACACCAGGCAACTCATGCCACTTTAAAGGCATGATGAAAGCCCAGGGGTATCCAAATTCCTAGGTCCAAGAGCAAACCATTGCAGGTTTTGATAATATTTTGGAAGAGGGGCAGAGGTGGGGCTTAACCCCCTATTTAAGGCAGCTTATCAAAATTTGGTGGCAGAAATTATTCACTATGAGCATTGACAGCATCATGACATGCTTATGCAATGTTCACCAAGTCCACCTCAACTCAGTGAGTTACATCCCTATTCAGAGCAGGATTTTATGTGGCCTCAGTACTTTGCTAGCATGATTGCCATGGTTCGGTCAGGGTGTACTTTCCTACCTAATGTTAGAAAAAATCATTGTACACCATTCGTCGTGTTTAAGGCATGACATATCGTAAATAATCTCAAAACAGGTAGAATCATGCTCCTACCTTCGAATTTCAATAACTTCGATGGCGGGGCCCCCAAGCGCCGCGCGCACCGCACCGCCTGGACTCCCCAGCGCCGTTTCCGCGTTGCCGTTGCGTAAATACAATATTTCTGCGTAGCAAGAACTGTACAAAATGTACGGGACCAAAGTAAACCATTCGTCATGTTTAAGGCAGGACAATCATAACCTAACTGCGAACCATAAAAATATTTACTAACATAAACCATATTTACCATAACCATATTTACCATATAAACCATATTAACTGCGAACCATACTATAAACCATAACTATAACTATTAACTATACTATATAAACCATACTATAACTATAAACCATATTTACTGCGAACCATAAAAATGTATGGGGACAAGGTAGCAAGAATCCATGAATTTGATCCTCGACGCCAACGGGACCATGGGTTGCAGGGGGATTGGGTGGGGAATGTAAAGCAAAATGAGAACTTGGCAGCTAAATAAAAGCTCACTATATGGCACCTATATATGGCATGGAACATGGATGCCAATGAGATGCTGGGTTGAAGGGGATATAGGGTGGGGAGGTAAGGTTAGGTTAGGTTAGGTTAGGTTAGGTTAGGTTAGGTTAGGTTAGGTTAGGTTAGGTTAGGTTAGGTTAGGTTAGGTTAGGTTAGGTTAGGTCAGGTCAGGTCAGGTCAGGTCAGGCTAGCTTAGCTTAGCTTAGCTTAGGTTCTGGTCTATTCTCAGTTAGGTTAGGTTAGGTTAGGTTAGGATATGTTCTGGGCTGTTCTGGCCTGCGTGTTTCATAAATGTACCTCAACTCGATAAGAAACGATTTTGGTTGCTTTATTATTGATACCTTGGTCCCGTGCGACAACGTAGAAACGGCGCTTGGAAGTCGAGGCAGTGCGGTGCGGGGCGTGCGGCGCTCGGGAGCTCGCTATCGTATTTATTAAAATTTGAAGGTAGGAGCATGATTCTATCTGTTTTGAAATTATTTATGATATGTTCTGCCTTAACACAACAAATGGTTTACCTTGGTCCCGTACATTTTGTAGAGTTCTTGGTAAGCAGAAACATTGTATTTACGCAACGGCAACGCAGAAACGGCGCTGGGGAGTCCAGGCGGTGCGGTGCGCGCGGCGCTCGGGAGCTCGCCATCGAAGTTATTGAAATTCGAAGGTAGGAGCATGATTCTACCTGTTTTGAGATGATTTACGATATGTGCCGCCTTGAACACGACGAATGGTGTGCAATGATTTTTTCTAACGTTAGATAGGAAAGTACACCTACACCCATGGTTCACATGCTAGATTACAGCATGCCTTGTACTGACATGGAGTATCCTTTTGATTGAATGGTCCCTGCATCCCTCCATCACATACCTGATTAAAATCCCATTCTTTTTAGAGATGAGCTGCACTAATGAAGTCATGCAGCAATAACATCTTGGCAACAATTCCAGCACATGTACACTTCAAATCTGAGTACTGAGCCCACATTTCAAGAAACTATGGCACACATCAGCCCTTCCAAAAAATAATCCACCTGAAGCACTTTCAAGCTAAAATACTTAGAAAATTTTACACCATTTGACCTGACCTGAGTTGGCACAATCTTACTCCAAGTTCAGCTCACTTGTCATACACACATGGCTGTGGAAAATATACAGAGGATTGACAATAAGAGAACCTAACTAGCTTCGGGAGCAGGTGATACTGTAAAAACAAGCAGGACCTGCAGCAACACTATCAAAGCTCATTTAAACAGGTTGTGCACATGAAAAACATGCTGCAAATGTGCTCTCGACCTGAACAGGCAGGTGGAAACAGCAAAAACACAACTCAAAGCACGGGTCGTTTCCCCGCACAACGCAATCCACTCACCACTTCCTGGGGACATACATGTCCACAAATTCTCCGGACTCGTTCTGCATGGTTCAGGGCTTATTGTTACGGGGTCCTGAGACCGCAAGCTGAAAGAGGATACAAACAGATGTCAGGGCCGATACTTCTAATCCAAGTTCTGAAGGTTGCAGCATATATATGAGATAAATGTAATATATCGCATTTGAGCATCACACCACACCACATATATGCATAAAGCAACACAAAAACACCACAGCTACACACCGCGCCGGAATCAGTTCAAAAAGGACGAGTTGCGCTCACTTCCGCAGTTGCCGTTTCTAAGCTCAAAATATCACAACAGCAAAGTTTTAAGGACAATTTCACTTGGAATGAGCCTCACCTTCGGAAAAATTCATAGATGTGGTCTCATTTTTAATGAAAAAAATTCCCTAGAATGAGCAGCAACACGTTTGTGAAAATGGGAGTGGGAATATTAGATATACTGTGAACATGCCTACCGCCTAGCAGAAACGATGCATGATAATACCCACTGCTCTGACTTCTTTGCGGATATTCCGATCTTACGCTGCCTCAGGGGCGGATCCAGGATTTTTAAATGGGTGGTACCACGCTTCATTGCGGTGCCCCGGGAGCTTAGTGTACCCCGCACAAAAAGTCCCCGAATTTCGACCGCGTCATTTTCAGATTCTCATTTTGTAATCGTTCCGCCGGTTTGGACCACCGAATTGGTCCGCGGATCTAGCTCACTGAATTATGTTTAGCGGCAAATTTAATGTTGTTAGTGTTGACCTTCTGTCATGGGCGTAGGATCAGGGGGGACAGGGGCCCATCCCCCCCCCCCACTTTTCGAGGTGGGGGGAAGGGCAGCAATGTTTACTGCTTCCCCTCCACACTTTTCAGATTCAGGTTGCATTTGGCTTACTTTTGCGCTGCATTAAACATGCATGCTGATTAACCTAATTCACCAGTCATCTTTCTTAAGATGCGTCATCTTTTTCGTTTGCTCATTGGCCATCACTTAGTGTTACAGCCGCAAGGCCGGCGCCGCACGGCCTGGAGACTGCAACGCCGGGCGTCGAAGCTGTTATTGCTACGACTTGCGAGCACGCCTGCTCAACACCATATTACATAGTTTTATTTTCGGTAATCAGCTCTGACAGGATCTTGAGCATTATAAGACGAACATCGGCTAGCCATGTTAATACAAATTATGAACCACATTTCATCTGCAATCCGCAGTCAGGGAGAGCTGAATATCTCTGAAGAACACAGAAAAAACATGGAACTCGAGTCTATGTGAAAACCATCGTTCTGCCTGCCGTGATCAGGGATGTTGTTGCGTCAGTTAGAGTCCCTGTGCTGATCCGGAGCTAACTGCGCGGATAATGACCTCCGGATCGACCAGGAGATCCCGCCTCGTGCCACAAGAATAATAGCCAGAAGACACCTCGCGATGGGACGGAATGGCCCTTCAGCCCTTGACCGGAAACGGTAATGTACCCCTGGTGCTCTACTCAATAGTGAAGGGAATAATTGCCCGGAAGGGAATATGGGGTCTCATTATTGTTGAGTAAAGTTGGGCTCTCATTATTGTTGAAAAGCACGGGTCGAAATGAATTAAAAATCCGAGCAATGTCATGCCAGGTTTGCCTGAGAGCGGTCATTTCTTCCAAGATGTATTATTGAAACAAATTTCATCAAAAGGCTTGAACACGCCCACCCGCAACCTGGAGAGCAAGGACAAGGATGGTCTGGGTTGCAATTTCCGTAAAACCGATAGGTTTCGGCCACCACAAGTGCCACCAGACGGCGGACGCGTGTTAATCTGTCTTCTGGACAGATAAATAGCTGCGGAAACACGAAAAATAGAGATTTTATGTTCACTCTTCCAGTTCAGCCAACAGATTCCAGCCCCACTTCGCGGTGCTTTAGGGGCCAATCCGTACTTTTCAATCTAAAACTTGCACGCGTGAAATATGCAGTCAGAATGCCTTCTAAATACAAGATATAATGTCATAACGCGTCCAAGGATACTTTTACAGAATCGGCGTCATTTTCACGCACCCGTTGGCCACAACTTAATATTAGCTGCTAGGCCGACGCTGCGCGGCCTAAGAAGACTGCAACGCCTGGGGGCAAGGCTTGTGTTTCTTAAACTTTCGAGTGCGCACGCCCAAAATTACACCGCACAGCTTGTTTAACTAGTTGATTTAAGTGTCTAAAGGTAATCATTTCAAAAGCGTCATCATTTTCGTCCACTAGTGGGCCACAGCTAAATATTAACTACTGGGCTAACGCTCCGGGGACTATGGAGACTCCAACGCCCGATGTCGAGGTTTTTTGCTAAGATTTGTGAGCGCGCATGCTATGCACGTTACATAAATTGCATCACCAATCGATTCTGACTGAGTGGTGAACATTTTCAGACAAGCATGGCGTGGTCATGTAAGTACACATTGTTGACCACTCGATCTGCGATACAATTTTCATCTTCAAATTTGGATAAAACATATCGATCTACAATCTACCTCTGCGATGTCCTCAATGTCTGAAGAACCCAGATAAAAATTGGCAAAGCTTCTGAATTCTATCGGTTTAGAAAGAGTCAGCTAACTATTGTAAATTAAGAGCGCCGGTAATTTCTTCCGAGCAGTCGTTCAACGCCTCATTTCTGCAGCTTGTTGACCTCAAGATTAGCTTACAAGCTTACAGTAGCTTCTGGTTTCTGTTCTGGTTACAGGGTAAAAATAACAATAAAACGGAGAAAACCGGGTCATTTGTTAACAAGTGAGCCATATCCGGGGATTTTTTTTTTGGGGGGGGGGGTGGTCACCATAAGATGGGCTTTTCTCAACCTTGTGTTCCCTTTTGGCACGGCTCTGGCTACGCCCCTGCCTACACACAAAAGCAAATCAAGTCGCGCACGTTGCATGATGGGCAATGAGGTGTCCGTTGGGCCAATCCATACCTAAGGCGGGGAGGCTATTTGTTTGCGATGGTGTTATATAAGGGAAGATAATTCGGGGAAAATACTGTTGCAGGTGTCCAACACATGTTTCATACACCAGTAGAAGTAACGCTAATCCAAAGGCACGCAACAAAGTAGCCACACGATCAGCTCGCAGCCAATCATGCGGGAGACATCCAAGCCAGGGCAGTGACCACCGACGGCGGACAGGGGCAGGGCCCAGATAAGGAACATATGACAGATGGGCCCTATTATGTGGCTTGACTCTTAGAAGAGAATCTCCAGTTTTGTGGACTTTGTCACATTGTTTCTAGCAGTTTCAAGCTCCCGAGTTTGTTTCCGCCTAAAATGCTACGACAAGTCTTATTTCTTGAAAAGCAGCCAGCGAAATAAAGGCCCATGAAAAACCTGGCATACTGTGAGCCATCGATCCACTTTCAAAATTCTCGCCAGCCTATATCCATGCCGTATTTTGGCATTTACACTGTGGAGGCAAAGGCTTCCTTAATGACCCAAATTACCTACCCGCTCGTGGAATTTCGTCTCCTCAGGAAAGACAATGTTAAAATTGACAAATAATCTAGGGAAGCTGGATAGCCTTAATTACCAAATGACAGATAGGTCGAATAGGCAAGATTGAGCACCAGTGATAAGCAGCTCTAGATGCATGGCTAGCATAGTAGCCATGACATTTGTATAAAAAGCGATAACAATCTCCATTCCTACCCCCCCCCCCCCCCTCCACCCCTCGGTCATCGGGCTCGCTTTCCAGAAAAGTCTCTGAAGTACACCCTGAGCTTGCCCCCCCCCCCCCACACTTGTTGAAACGTTCTTGCGCCTATGCCTTCTGTGATTGAGAAAAAAACCCAGAATTGCTGCCCAAAGATACAGTTCACTTACTTAGAAGCAAATAAAATTAAGTTGAGCAGCATTGGAATGGTTGCATCAAGTGATCAGGGTCAAATTGCAATGCTTTAATTGTGTCTTTTTGTTAATTAATAACGGCTAGGGCTCCGGATTTTCTCGGAGTTTCCCAAATCAGTTACGAGGCCTGTGGTTTAAACGTCGGCACAGATCGACACAGGTGGCCAAAAATTTGTGTGATATGCCTATTCGTTGTTCGGCAGGGATGGTTCGTCCTTTTCCAACAACCCATCAGCAATAATTGTACCAAATGGTTATAAGCTCGTGCGCTCCCCAGGGGCCGATCCAGAGGAGGTGCGGCCATGGAGCCATGCCTCCCCCCCCCACCCCCACCCCCCTTTGGGCCGCGAAGGAGCCCGTAGCCGGACGGACGGACACAGTTTTTTTACACGAAACGCAGCAAAATAGACGTATTTGGGGTTCCACATGATGAAGAGCAGTAGCAAGCAAAGGTGAAGGCCCATGAGTAGACAAGAACCATGCTCTACTGGTCGTGATGGTGTTGACTAGGAGGTTTTAAAGCTCATCACGTTGTCCAGAGATCTTACACTGCTTCCAGGCTCTACATGTATACCTGGAGTCAGTCCGATCGTTAAGGAGCCTTCTACGTTTCCCCTGATTTCTTTACATTCGCTCGAAGGGCCCTGCGGTGTTATGACTCTTCCTGCTGGCGTGCCGGGGAACTTTTGTCAATCAGGGACCTTCCCTCGAAAGGCTCTATACGCTATAGCCGGAGGCCCATATGTTGATCTGCCGGAGTATTCTCTGCTGCTCAGGGGCTCTTTTCGTTGGCCTCGGTTGAATACCGACACACTAACAATATGCCCATGGGCTCTCTACATTGGTGTAAAACTCTTCCAATTCCTGTCACTTGCTTAGGGCCCTGCGTTCTTCTCGGAGGTCCACCTGTTAACCTGCTTGGGCGTACTCGGTTTTTCGAGACCCTCCAAATTAACCTGCTCAGGCACACTAGATTGTTCGGGGCCCAGGACATTGTGTTTTGATATTTGAAAGTAGGACCTTACGTTCTGTCGTGAGCGAACTGCTAGCCTCCTTGGGTACACTCGATCTTTCGAGAGGCCTCCACGCTCGGTCTTTGGTATTTTTAGTTGAATGAAAATTCCCATGCTCTTGTCGGAGCCCCTTCAGATTATCTGCTCCGACATACTTAATCGTTCGGGGCCATCTACATTGGGTCTTGAGTACTTGCTATTTAAATACATGGCCCTATGTTCTTGCCTGGGGCCCTATATGCTAACATTCTCCGGCCCACTCGATCGTTCGGGGCCTTCTATAGTGTGTTGTGAGTATCTCTTATTTAAATGGAGGGCCCTATGCTCTTGTCGGGGCCCTATCTGTTAACCTGCTCTTGCCCACCCGATCCTTCGGGGGCCTCCACATTGTGTTG